GCTAAAGTTAGGAACTGCAAACTCAATACAGGTCTCTCACAAGGTAACAGGGACCCAACTATTTGAACCACCTCCTGCTAAGTCCTAGGATGCACATTAGAGGAAGCTAGAATCTGGAGTGGAGCCAACACTCAAACCCAAGCACTCCCATAAGGGATAAGGACAAACCAAGCAGCATGTTAACTACTACACCAAATGCCTGTCCTGTATTTCCTATCTTAAATGCTAAATATTCATCAGTGTAAATTTGATCTCTATGTTAATCTTTTTGAATCTTCACTGAATGTTTTGAAGACACTTCAAATACAGTATTTCCCAATACTGTATTTCCTACTTCTTGTTCCCCTCTAGAGGTAAAGACATCTTCTTCTATATTCTATTTTTTTTTTTTTTGGACAGGCAGAGTGGACGGTGAGAGAGACAGAGAGAAAGGTCTTCCTTTGCCGTTGGTTCACCCTCCAATGGCCGCCAGGTGCTTCTTCTGGTCTCCCATGGGGTGCAGGGCCCAAGGACTTGGGCCATCCTTCACTGCACTCCCTGGCCACAGCAGAGAGCTGGCCTGGAAGAGGGGCAACTGAGACAGAATCCGGTGCCCCAGCTGGGACTAGAACCCAGTGTGCCGGCGCCACAAGGCGGAGGATTAGCCTAGTGAGCCGCGGTGCCGGCCCTTCCTCTATATTCTATATTAATTAATGGCATCATTATGTACCCAAGTGGACAAGTAAAAATTTATCCTTGAATCTCTCATTTTAAAAATCACATCTCTAGCCCCCATTGTTTCCACATTTTAAACATCTAATTTCATCTTATTGACACTCTAATTGTTTTCATTCAGTTTCTGCTTCGTGCTTGCAATAGACTACTTTTTTTTTTTTTTAAGATTTATTTACTTTATTTGAAAGCAGAGTTACAGAGAACAGAGGCAGAGAGAAAAGAGGTCTTCCATCCACTGGTTCACTCTCCAGGTGGCTGCAATGGCTGGAGCTGCACCAATCAGAAGCCAGGAGCTTCTTCCAGGTCTCCCATGTGGGTGCAGGGGCCAAGCACTTGGGCCATCTTCTACTGCTTTCCCAGGTCATAGCAGAGAGCTGGATCAGAAGATGAGCAGCTGAGACTCAAACCGCACCCACATGGGATGCTGGCACTGCAGGCTAAGGCTTTAACCTACCTGCACCACAACGCCATAAATTGGTTATTTTAAAGTTACTTTCCTTAAGGTGGGAACATGGGTACATAACAATAGAAAAATAAGGGATTCATTAACATCAAAATCACTGTAAGTTGCTTTTTGTAAGGATTGAAGGCTATCAAATTAAAGCAGAGGGAATTTCATTATCATGATTTTTGGTTTGTTTGGAAATTTGGTTATCATTGTCCTGACAGGATTAGATGGCAATTTAATTTAGGTTTGGGGCCAGCGCCGAGGCTCACTAGGTTAATCCTCCGCCTTGTGGCGCTGGCACACTGGGTTCTAGTCCTGGTTGGGGCACCGGATTCTGTCCCGGTTGCCCCTCTTCCAGGCCAGCTCTCTGCTGTGGCCCGGGAGTTCAGTGGAGGATGGCCCAAGTGCTTGGGCCCTGCACCCCATGGGAGACCAGGATAAGTACCTGGCTCCTGCCATTGGATCAGTGCGGTGTGCCGGCCGTGGCGGCCATTGGAGGGTGAACCAACAGCAAAGGAAGACCTTTCTCTCTGTCTCTCTCTCTCTCACTGTCCACTCTGCCTGTCAAAAAAAAAAAAAATTTAGGTTTGGTGATTTGTAAATTTAGCTTGGGTGTCTCCATTTTGACTTTTAGTGAGATCAGTTGGTGCCCAGTATAGAAGCTTAGTCAAAAACAATGAACTATAATTTTTATTTAACAAATGTTTTACAGTGTTTAATTGTATTTTCAAAGAATACTTTCCTATTTATAGGTATAAAACTAGAATTTATAAGTTTAAAAATTTTTCAATACAGAAAAATTAGAAAAGCACAAGGAGAAAAATTCACAAAGCCACTGCCTTGAAAGAAGCACTGCTGGGGGCTGGCATTGTGGTGCAGAGGGGAACATGTTGTGGTGCAATGGCTTACGCTACTGGCTTCCCATATGAGCATTTCCCATATGAGCAGCTCCCCAGAAGATGGAAGATTTCTCTCTCCCTATCTCTGTCACCCTGCTATTCTAGTAAATAAATCTTAAAAAAAGAAAAAAGAAGAAAGAAAGGAAAAGAAAGGAAAGGAAAGGAAGTCACAAAACAGTGTACATAGTTACATTAAAATTATTGTCTGTATTGGTGGGCATTCTACCACTTAGAATTTGAGTGATCTTAGATGAGTTATTGGCTGCTATAAAGCTCAGTAGGTTAATGGAAATCTTGAAGTACACCTAGCACGAATAGTAAATGTTGCCTGAGGTCCAAATTCAAATGTTTTCAGTTTGCAAAGCCTGAAGAGGACCAATCCTTATTCTTTAGAGTTCAGACAATGTAAAGTGCTTTGGCCTGTGTTCAAATGGAACTTTCATAGTTCTACCCAAACTACTCACATTGACAAACAAACAAATGAACCAAAAGGCAAACAATGCATGAGATGCCAAAACAAGTAAGAAAAAAGAAGAAATTAGCCCATAAAGCAAATAAGGCCCTTCATAAACAGCTGTTGGGAATGTAAATCATGCAGCCAGTTTGGAAGAGTCTGGCAATGCCTCAACAGCTTAAATGTGGTCTTACCATAATGAGTCAGGTTTTCCATTTCTAAGTATATGATAGTTCCATTTCCAAGAGACATGAACCATATTTGTCTATAGAGAAGCCTGGACAAGAATCTTTGTAACATTGTTATTTCTAATGGTCAAGGAGTGGAACAGACCCTGATGTCTATCAATTGATAAATGAATAAAATGTGGTGTATCTCTACAAAGTATAAATGACAAAAAGGAATAAATAATAATATATGCTATATGAACTTTACAAAATTTTACTTATTTATTTGAAAGAGTAACAGAGAGAGGAGAAACAGAGATCTTCCGTCCACTGGTTTACTCCCCAAGTGACCACAGTGTAAGGCTGCTACAAAACACGCCAAACACGGGAGTAAAGGAAAGGGTTTATTGGGGGAAACCCGACAGACTGGAGGGAAGGGACGAAGAAGGAAAAGAGGGAGAAGGAGAGCATAAGAGATCCAGAAAGAGATCAAGAGACACACACAGAGAGAACAGAGATCAGGAGACGGAGAGAAAGAGAGAGCCACATGTTCAGGAAAAGGTCCTTTTTAAAACTTAGCCGGGGAGTGGGCAGGGAAGTAGGAGCAGCAAATCCCATTAGGATGGTGGTGGGGCTGACACCAGTGGTTGGGCCATGTGGCCACCTGGCTTCCAGCAATGACAACAGGGGCTAGAGCCTAGGATGGAGTCAGGGTGTAGATCACGCCATAGATAAGACTGCACCATTTTACTAACACATGGTACACTATAACATGAAAATTGTTTAAACAGATTAAAGTAGAATGTTGCAATCCTGAAGGATCATGAGATGACATACACTTTGTTGGTCGAAGCCCTTAAATGGTGTGATTCATTTAGTTTGATGGGCATTTAGTTTACATTTTTGCCTACTTAACATTTTAAAAAAAAGTTTTATTTATTTATTTTGAAAGGCAGAGGAATAGAGAGAGATTAGAGAGTGAGATCTTTCAACTGCTGGTTTGCTCCCCAAATGGCTGCAGCCGTGGGGGATCAGTATAGTTGGAAGCCAAGAGACTGGGACTCCTTGCTGGCCTTCCATGTGATTGGCAGGGGCCCAGGTATTGGGGCCATTTTCTGCTGCTCTCCCAGAGGCATTAGCAGGGAGTTGGATTTGAAGCAGAGCAGCAGGGACTGGAACCAGGCCCCAGCTTCACCAGCTGTGCCACAGTGCCTGCCCTAACCTGAGCAATATTTATAAAAGGAACATCACGTGCATAGGGATATTGAACCCTTTTGCAGCCACCCTCCCACTGCAGCTTCCTTCCTGAACCTTTGGAGATGTTGAAGTGCTCATCAAATGTCCTATACATTTGTGTGTGTAGTGAGGGATTCCAAAAGCTGGAACACTGGGCATTCCATCCGGAGCAGAGCGCCAGCAAAGCATCTTGTTTAACTTACATGTGAACATGGTAAAACAAGTGTACCAACACATACACAAAAGAGCCCCTATTATTTATTTCCAGAGGCCTTGCTTTGGGGAAATAAAAAGTTTGAATATTAAGTGGTGAAAACACTAGAGTATCTCTAGTATAATGCTTACAGAAGCAGGGTAGGTTCTGGTAGAAAAGCCACACGAAATAATTCTGCTTTGATCCTGTTAAACTGGGTAGGGGTTGCAGCAGGGGAAAGCGTCGTTTCCCGCCCTTCTAAGTTTCCCTGACTACCTCTAATAATGGCTATTAACCTCAACTCGGCTCCAGGCTGTGAATACAGCCACGTTGCAAGGAAAACACTGCCATTTAAGCAGCTGAAGTGGTAACAGGTGGGGACCGCGCTTGGCCAAACTGAGGGGGTGTGGAATTGTGGAATTTGAGCGAAGAAAAGTCAGATTTAACCAAAACAAAAAAAAGGTCGAAAGAATTTACAGCCCAATAATAGGCACTTTTTTAGGTTCCCCTCTCCCCTCAAGAAATTGCGCCAGTGGGCAACGGGAGCCCCGAAAGTTGCTCTTCGCCAGCTGGGCAGCCACTCGAGGGTTGCTAGCACTTGGAGAAGTTTGAGCGCCGCATGCGTGAGGTGCTCGCGTCCCGGCAGCCGGAGCCGGGCCAGCAGCGAGCGCCGCGGGGTGGGGCCGCAGGCGCAGGTCAGCAAAGGTCGGCCGATTGTGTCGGGAGGCGAGCTGGGCGTAGGCGGCGGCGGGCGGAGCCCGGGGCGCGTGATGTAAGGAGCGGAGGGATCCCACCTGGAGAGTCGGGGCGGCACGCTGAGACCCCAGGGGTGTGGGGCGGGGGATCCCAATCCCCGCCCTGTTTGCCCCACCCCTCCCCCCGCCTCCTTCTCGCCCCTCCCCCCTCCTCCCCTCTGGTTGGAAAGTTTCTAGAATCTCTTCCCAGCGGCCTTTGCGGTTCCAACATGGCGGAGCTGACGGTGGAGGTTCGCGGCTCCAACGGGGCTTTCTACAAGGTACTGACCCTTTCGCCGCTTTGTCGGGTTTTCTGGGGGCCGGAGCGGGCTTAGGGGAGGGTTGGTGATCCCTGAGAATGCGGTTTGGGGTCGAAGAGGGCGGCCAAGCCAAAGCCAGCGACTGCTGGGTTCCTCGCTTCTCCTCCCTCCACCCGCGGTTTAACGGTCTCGGGGGCCCGGGCTCCGTTATGTTTTGAAACAACACATCGGACGCCTCTTGCCGTTTCCTACTTAGGAGCCTTCTTGTAGGGTCTTCATGCTGTCCTTGGCTGGCCGGCGAGGACAAACCCAATGGCTGCCGGCGGCGAGGAGCTCCCTGGGAGCAGGCCCGAGCGCGGGGAGGTGGGCAGTCGAGGAAGGAGGCGGTGGGATTGTGTGGTCACACCCGCTCCCCCGCCCCTCGGACTGGGCTGAGCGGGAGCTCCTCTGCCTGCTCCTCCGGACCCCTCCCCACCTCCTGAGGGGGTGCGTCGCGGAATCCTAGGAATTCACCTTTGTATTATTAGGATTTGGGGCCCCCAGTCTGAACCGTGTCTGCGAGGGGAAGGGGTCCTGGATTGAGGGGTACGATCGAGAAGAGAAAAGTAGGAAACCTAGAAATGTGGCGGGTTGAAATATTTTTTGCGGCCTGGAAAATTGGGCGGCGCCTTCAGCCCCTCTGTTGCCGGAGAAAAGGCGAGAGTTCGAGGCTTTAAAGTAAGCTTTAAAACGTGAGCTGAACGGGGGAGACAGGTGAGGAGGCGACTGGTTAATTTCTGTCAGTTATTTGGTAAGGTGCGGCCTTTTTTTTTTTTCTTCCCCCCACGAGGTTCTTTTTGTTTGTTGCCTTTGGAGGAAGGAGATGCATTACTATGGAATCGGGTTGGAAAACGGAAGAGCGGTTGAGAGTGGAGGAATTTGGTCGGGGCTTCCAATGTAAAAGGTTACGAAATTAAATTTAATCACAACCGTGGTGTTTTTATTATTATTTTTTTTAATTTTCACCATTATAGCACTCCTTTTTTTCTTAGTTCTCTTTCTTCCAAAGTATGCCAGGAGGTTACAAGATCAATACAAAATCTCCCCAGCTGTTGTCTGTCAGTCAATCTCACTAAGCCAGCATCTCAAATGTTTGAGAGTCTTGGCTATTTTTATGAAGGGCTGCCTTGTAATAGATGAGTATTGTGCCTACGCAGAGTGAATTCTCATAGGTCTTCATTTCGGCGAACCCTTTATCCCATAAATAATTTATTCTTACTTAGTGGTCATGATTTCCTATTTTCAGCATTTTGTTTTTCCTTTCCTGATTTACTGATTGGCTCTGTGTATTTGGTTTAGCTTGTCACGAGGTAAAAGCATAGCAGAAAATCATAAAGCCCCCCCCCCAACAGTCTTTAACAAGTTTAAATTTTCTTAGATGGTTCACATAAAGTAGAAACAGTGCACGTTGAAACGGAGTGTTTAGTATCACCCTGTAATGTAGGTCTAGTTATTTCAGGTTTAAAAGTAGGTATCAGAGAAGCTACCTAAGTGAAATTTGAATAGATATTTCATTTACTTCATTTCTTTCTGAAACCAAGTGGTTTCCTTTTCTGAACAGATAGCCGATATGGGAAGCTTGGGCAGAAGGTGCAGAGAATGAACTTGCCCATACTTTTCCTGTCTAGAGGAGTTTGCATCATCACCATCCCTTTCCCCAGTGGAAAAGTTTCAGATTCTCACTGTTGGGCTGTGCAGTTCTTGTGTAAGAGAGGCATGTGTTTTTTTCATTGCATATTGAAAAATTGAAAACGATTATTTTGATTTAACATTTTACCTCATGCAGGTAGCCTGTCAACATAATAAGTCTTCACTTATTTTATAAGATTGGTTAGTCTTTGGTTTCTTGTGGTATTTTTCTTTTCAATCCACTAAATCATGTCTCCATTTGGACCTCTGAAGTGTTGATTACTGATCCTCATCCATACACATCTTCGTTCTGAGATTTCATTGCCCATTTTGCCTCAACAAAGTGAGGTGTGACTTTGGCAAAGGTTGGGAAGTAGACTAGCTACATATGTGTACTGAAATGTTTGCTTTTCAGCCTTGGAAATTTCATGTTCTGCTATAAATCCACTTCTACATATACTTTGTGGAAGTTGTAATCTTTAGAAATCTGGAAGGATAGTGGCAAAGTGTAGAGTGTCTGGATTTGAAATAAATAGGAATTTATGTCTGTATTAAGTTTACCACTGTCTTCCAGTGGATCCCTGAACTAGTCTAAGGCTATTGTCTTGTGTGTAAATGGCAGATTTGAAGTAGTACAATAATTCCCAGTTTTTATTCCACAAAACTGTGCTTTTAGAAAGCAAGTTGACTTGTCACACAGCAACTGTTTTTAACCATTCGATTTTCTAAAAATTTAATATATATACAGTAGAATAAGTTTTTTTGGGTGTACAGTTAAGAGTTTTAATAAATGCTGACAGTTGTGTCACCATTATTACAATAAGGGGATAAAATAATTGTAACATCTCCCAAAGTTCTTTCATGTTGTTTTTTTAGTTAACTTCCCCTCATTCTCAGTACCTAGAGTGTTTTCTGTCCTCATAGTTTTGTCTTACCTAGAATGTCATATACTATATTGAGTGTTACATACTATACTATAAGATGTTCTGAGTCTGATTTTTTCTGTTTAGCATAGGAGCCATTTAATTTTAGTAATTTTTAAAAAGATTTATTTGAAAGGCAGAGTTACAGAGAGGCAGAAGCAGAGAAGGCTCTTCCATCTGCTGGTTCACTCCCCAGATGGCAGTAACGGCTGGAACTGTGCCGTATCCAGAGCCAGGAGCTGCTTTCTGGTCTCCCAAATGAGCACAATGACTTGGGCCATCTTCCACTGCTTTCCCAGGCCATAGCAGAGAGCTGGATAAGAAGTGGAGGAGCCGGGACTCAAACCAGCATCCCAGTAATTTTTTTTTTAAAGATACATTTATTTACTTGAAAGTCAAGAGTTACACAGAGGGAAGCAGAGGTAGAGAGAGAGAGGTAGAGAGAAAGAGATCTTCCATCTGCTGGTTCACACCCCATTTGGTGCAACGGCTGGAACTGTGCAGATCTGAATCCAGGAGCTAGGAGCTTCTTCTGGGTCTCCTACGTGGGTGCAGGGGCCCAAGGTTTTGGGCCATCTTCTGCTTTCCCAGGCCATAGCAGAGAGCTGGGTTGGAAGTGGAACAGCCGGGACTTGAACTGGCGCCCATATAGGATGCTGGCACTTTATCTGTTACGCCACAGCGCTGGCCCCAGTAATTAAAAAAAAAAAAAGGTTAGTGAAGGAATTTTGGAAATCTTGGCCCCCTCTCCCCCCATATTACAGACACACACTTGGCTGTTAAGTGTGGATTGCCTTTGAAGAGTTTCAAAGTCAGGTATCATGCCTTGAGGCATGTAGCATGTGCTTTCATCCCTTAAGGCAGTGCTTTGCTGACTTTGATTAAATGAACTGAAATTTTATTTTGCAAATTAATTTGAATGTGAAGGTCTGAATATTTTACCTAAAATTACTGTAGCCTTTGCTTTTCAAAGGCTATGTGTTTGAAAAGCAGAATGACAGGGAGAGGAAGAGATCTTCATCATCTGGTTCACTCCCCTGATTGCCACTATGGCCAGGCCTGGGCCTGGCTGGAGCCAGGAGCCAGGAGCTTCTGGGTCTCCCTTGTGGGTGCAGGGGCCAGAAGACTTCTGCTATCTTCTTTTGCTTTCCAAGGCGCCTTAGCAGGGAGCTGGATCAGAAGTGGAGCAGCCCATATGAAATGCTATGCTGCAAACAGTGGCTTAACCTACTGCGCCACAGCGCCAGCCCCAGAATTCATCCATTCTAACTGTACAGTTGAATGATAGTGTATTGACAGAATTGTGTAACTATTGCTACAGCTTATTTTAGAACATTCTTCTATTACCCAAAAAGAAACCTAGTGCTGATTTGCAACATGTAAGTGCTTTTTAACTGTTAAATGTGAAAATACTTTTTTTGAACATTTATTTATTTGAGGGAGTTATGGGATTTTGGGGAGAGAGAGCTTCCACCTGCTAGTTCACTCCCCAAATGGCTGCAGTGGCCAGAACTTGGAGCTGTGTCTGTATGTCTGGTACCAGGAGCTTCCTTAGGTCTCCCATGTAGGTGGAAGGGCCCAAGCACCTGGGCCATTTTTCTGTGCTTTCCCAGGTGCATTAGCAGGGAGCTGGATCAGAAATGGAGTATCAGGGACCTACACTGGTGCCCATATGGGATGCCAGCATCGCAGGTCGTGGCTTCACCTGCACCACAACTCCAGCCTATGTGATAGTAGCTTTGTAGAATGAATAGCATTGCAACTTGCACAAGCTTGGGATTAAACTTACTTTAAATACAAGTTGAAAGTCACTCAGTTTCAGGCTTCTGTAGAGGCAAGTTTCCATGGAAGTGTGTAATCTTTTAAGTTAGATGAAAGAAATGTAAGGTGTTTTCTATATAAGATATAATTAATTGCTTTTAGACTTCTGGGATTTCTGCTTTCATTATGTAATTGACTAAAATCTCAAAGTACGATATGTGATTATTTTCTGTGTTTAATATTAAATGAAATTTGTAATATCTACATTATGCAGTAGCCATGCCTCACTAATGATGACCTGTAGAATTATACTTGTAGTAATTATGTTCTGATGATATTCTGTCTTTTCAGAGTTAGTACAGAGTTTTGTTAGTTGAACGTGGAGGTTAGTAATCGAGGAAAAGGTGGTCACTGTCTTAATATTAGTGTTCTGTTAAAAATATAGTTTCACATGTGTTAATGACTTTTGATTTTACGTATTTAAATACATGGTTTTCATAGATAAAGTGGAAGTAAATACATAGTTACAACAATTTTAAATTTTGTTCCTGGATAGCTGTCAGATGTGGCTCTTGTGGTGAGGGAAGGATATGTCTTTATTCAGCACATAACTTTTAAAAATATGTTTCCTGTAAAGTTTTGTTTTTATATTAGAAGAGCAATATATAA